TGTCATCGACGCTCTCATTATTATCCTCATCGCTACTCCTATTATTGATTTGACATTTTTAAATACATAATCGCGAGATCGCACAAGGCACTAGATCCTGCACCTGGCGCCAAACAACGCATCCTACATAGGTTCGCGCCGGGCCTACCTGTTTCTCCCGACAGTACACAATATCTTTTTAATATTCGCACATGTGAATAATAAAAAAATTCCGAGATACATCGTTAATGATTTCGTCGATATGCCGATGTTCGCCACCGACGCAGAAGCTAGTCAGTTAGTCGACAATAGTAACCTGGGGTTAGCACTGACCAGGGGCTCGTCGTTATCATGTGGATATGCACGTCACTAGATGGTGCTGCGTGTCTCATGAATTCGCAATGAATTTTAATGCGCTGGACGAATACCGTCGGGTGGGTTATCCGGGCGATCGGTCTACCTCTTCTCCTTTATTTACACGACCATTCGACCATTAGAAATTAATGTTTATGAAGTTTTAATTTGGCTTATAAGGAAGTGCGCCTCGACAATTGTTACGAGGCCGCAATAAGATCCTCGAGATCTCGAGCTTTGTGTACTCAAAGCACAACGATGAGTTAGGGGAGTGTGGGTGTGCGATATAATAACGAGCATACACGCTAATTATATTGCCTCTTTTTCCTTCTTCTTTTCTTTTTTTTTTAAAGAATTTTTACTCACTGGGAGCGTGCGTCGCGACCGATGTGTTGCTCTAGCCTTTTCTATTCAGCTAATGACCTCTTGTAATGTATTGAACTTAAGGCGACCGACTTGTATTGGACTGTCTTTTACCAAAGAGAAAATTCGTACAGAAGGACACCGTGAGAAAATGTATAGAATTACCGATGATATATGAGATTACAATTTGCAACGAATAATATGTGCAAGGTATGTGGATGATTCGACATACAAAAGATCCATTGGAAGAATTATTATCAAATGGATGTCAATACCTTGTTCAATTGGCATGCAAGGTAATTTAATGCGACCTCCTAGTCGTTTATTATTGGAAAGGACATGCGAATTGCTTAACTTGTAGCTTGCGAATCTTGACAGGGACAAATGGCGAGTATTTAAATTCCAATTGTGCGCATACGTGGACGTACATTTGCCCTAAACGGACATTATTGTACATATGTAATTGACAGTATTTTTTTCTTTTTATTAAACTATAATGCTTAATGTTGAGATAAAATAAAAAAAGAGAAATATTTATTTTTTTTTGCAAGTATTTTATGTTTTTAAAATTACTTAGAAATCGTTGTGATTGGTGATTTGAAAATAAATTATGTATATGATTATTTATGTAGTTAAACAAAAAAAGAAAGAGATATTCCTTGGAAAAAATATAAGAATTCGACGATTGGTAACATTTTTAACATTAAAATAATATATAATTGCAAATTTCTTAATAAAGCATTTATAAATATAATTATTTTAACAATTATTCTGTCCAAGTGTCGAAAGAAATGTTGACGCTAAAATGTTAAATTTTCTAAAACAAAAAGTAAGTAGGCAAATACTTTAATAATAATTACAATAAGGAAAAAAAATTATTACTACCTTGAAATCAAAAGTTTATTTAGTTTATTTTAGTTTTGATAACGTATTTTTGAATGTACAATTCGTACACGAGGGCTAGAGCATCCGAGGTGCTTCTATGAGTTAGTTTTTGTAATTTCATAGCGTCTATTATCAGTTTTCTTACAATATTAAACAAAATTGCTTTAAATATAAAATCGAACGTTAATTAATAGTAGATGTCAATACGGTTTTTAATTCTTTTTTTTTTTTTTTTTTTACTAAATATAACATATATGTTGTACGTATGTATATATGTACAATTGGAAATAGTAATACAATTTATTTACCAGTTTTTGATTCTATTATGTAAAGTTATTTTTGCTTTCTATCTAGTCACGTGTCATGAAAATCGTGACACTCTCTTTTACAGAAAAGCTCATATTCTGCACATTTTATTTACTCTATTTTCACACATACACTTTCTCACTCTGTTTCTGTATTTCTCTCGCTCTTTTTAGTTATTTACATAGTTGAAACGAATATGGAGATTATATGTTCATCATGAAAAATTCGCGTCTCTGCCTTTACGTACTCAAAGCGATACTTTATCTAATTGCCGTTTGTACTCCCATTCTCTCATGGATCTGTTTGACCTCGGTAAAACGCCACACAGAATATTACAGCTCTAAATCTTCATAATTCATGTAGATAATTGAATAGCCGTTATGACATTGGCATTTACTTTGCAGTACGCTACCGATTAAGTATTTTCTAATTCCATAAAGTATATTCATAAACTAATCTATGAATTAGTTTGATATTAATAAATTAATCATCGTTATTATACGATGGTGACTTTTAATATGAGCTTAGAGATATTTTGAAAATTTAAAATAGATTATGAGCGGGATATTTTTGCATCGTTTATAGAATGTAAAATAAACTAGTCGAGCATAGACATCTTATTTCTATGCACGTGCGTTCCTCAAATATTGCAAATGAGTAATAGAATAAGTATTTAATCAGTACTAAAAATTCTTTATAAATTCCTGCTTTTAAAATTGTCGTCGCTTCTACGATTCTTAAATCGTATTATTATAAAATACGAGAATTGGGCCTAATCTGATAACTGTTTCATATCGCTATCGACCTTGCGTCATTGATGCGGTAACGCCTGTCTACCACTGCTGTTGAAATTACCTGTTCCTGAAATAATTGATTCACGCGGTTAATCCTTTTTTGGAGATAATCCTGTGTGTCATCGGTTCAATATGCTCAACCACTGAAAAACCCATGTTTCAATGTAAACTCAGCAAGAGACATATTTTCTCCCGTTTTAAGAATTTTTGAATTTTTCGGATTACACGAGAGCATCGTTGTAGGCGAAATCACCTCAGGCTTTTAATAAATGCAATATATTGTAAGTATTAAATCTATTCAATGTCAGAAACTAATTATGCTGAATTAATGTTATATTGTTATAAACGGATGATGATAATGTCAGTTACGAAATTTATAAAATTTGCGGTGAATTTGTTAAATAACGCTATAAATTCATAAAAAGAAAAAAAAGAAAAAATCAAAGAATATTTTAACTTTAAATAGATTAGATGCTTGGACATTAAGAAAGGCTCGTAACTTAATTTATAAGATTATTAATAGAATATCAAATAAAAATATGCATTGAAAGCGGATATTGTTATTAAAATGAACATCTTATTAAAGTTTTATTCAAATTATATTACAAATTATTCAAATAAACTAAGTTTCTAGACTTTTAAAGCTTTCGCATAATATTACATTCAAGTGATGTTTGAAATTTTTAATGCTTTAGAATTTTCGAAAATATGCACATTCATTAACACGCGCACTCACAATTCACTGTATTATTATTTAAAAATCTGATGTTAATAGTTATCGCATAGAATGATGCAAGTATAGTCTTTATAATTTATATTTATTTGGCAAATATATGCAGAGAAACACGTGAAATGGAAATTAATTTACAAAGAAGTGTGGCATATATTTTTAATATTCTTATTAAAAACAAGTGCATTGTTTTGTAATTATGAAGTATTAGGAGGGAAATTTGAATGGATCGAGGTTTTTCAATCAATAAATAAAAATAAAAACTAATGTGCAACTGATGTTCATGACAATTTATTAATGCAGAGATGGTGCGATTATTATGCCATAAAGACTTATTATGCCATAAAGAATATTGTACATTTTTGTCGAACATTATTTTAATAATAAATTATTGATATACCTAAATTGTGTTTGACTTCGCAATTATAAATTACAAAATCGAATACTTCGATAATGGCTTTTTATGCTCGAACTCGACTACTATTTGAAATCTTTTACAATTAACCTAACGAATTAACCTTTCTATCTTGTCAATATTTCGATCACAAATAGCTCATCGTTAAAAAATAGCATCATTAACGATTCAACTATTGACTCATCAAATACTAAGAAACTACCAATAATCATGAATTATTGATTGATATCATTCATTAAAAATTTCGTACCTAAAAAACATGGATATCGAATTCGATATAAAAAATTTCATGAATACAAAATAAATAATTGACAGATATAAATTCCGACTCTAAGAAATGAATAAGCCGTGTGTGATTTATACAATTCGGGTTTTAACAATTATTTTGATATTTTTATTATGTTGCATCTTCGATATGTAGCCAATGCCGTGGCATTTGCCGTGCGACATTGTGGCGAAAAAATTAAGTAGACGAGAATATAAGTTCTATATTGCATTAACAATGAGAAATATATGCTTGCGTATATTAAAATTTTTAATTTACTTGTTGTTATATGCGTGCGGCTATTAATAATATTAGAGTCGTCGTCAATAAAAATTGAAAGATTTGCCTATCTAAATAAATTAAACTAGCTAATTCTTTAATAAATAGTAAAAATCTAAAATAAATTAAATTTTTGCTAACGTACGCAAATGTTACATTCATTCGATTACTCTTTTCAGCTATATTAATAGTACATTTATATTATTATTAATATATGCGTGTATTTGTATATATATATATATATATATATATACGCACATATACACACAACACGTAGATGAAGTATATGTTACGGTTATTGGTGGAGGGGGTTGGGCGGGTTGTGTGGGGTGGGGTGGGGGGGGAGTGTGTGTGTACGTTTTCATTGCTTCAAAATAAAACAAATTTCGAAATATTGAAATATATTGGGCATCTCAACTTTCCAGTGAAATGCATCTAATATTCTCACATAATACAGTCTGAAAGCGCTAAACTAAGGAGTAGAATAGCCTAAACATGATACTTCCCGCATATCCGGTAATACCTATCATCGTCTAACGATAGTCAAAATAAATCACTTAGCGCAATAAATACTTGAAGTTACACTCATCGTTAATACGCAATGTAAAAACAAAAGAGGACAGAGGCAGAGTATTAATAAATAAATACAGAGGATCGATGGCTCTGATGAGCGCTTTCTTCTGCGCACACCTCTTAAAGATTATCCTCCCTTGGAAAGCTGCACGGGGAACCTGGCGACACTAAAAATGCACGTGCACGCGCTCGACGCTCTGGAATACTCGTGAATTGAACTAAGGAACACAGCAAGTTGTGACAGCAGCACCTCGTGAATCGCACTTCCGCGCCAGCTTCGAGGAAAATGGGCGGCATGGAGGTCTCGGCTTACTCGGAAAAATTCTCTTCCGTATAATACTGTTCGGTCGGTTTACGAGGACTGAGCGAAGCAACACAATACTTCCCGGCGACGTTGTTTTAGTAAATACTGTCGTCGTCGTCCCGGTCGCCGCTCGCTTGGTCCTGCTCCTTTTCATACCACTGCGAACAAAGAAGATCAATGGCGCACGTTATTATCCAGTGCTTATTTCATTTTCAATATAAATTTTCTAGGATTATGTGCGAGGATGCCAATGTATGGCCATTTTTCGCATCGAAAATATAGCCTTTTTTATTTATTTATTTATTTATTATTTTATTTGTTTTTTTTTGTTTTTTTGTTTTTGTTTTTTTTTTATGAATCATCAGGATTATCAAGTTTATTGAGAAATTATTAATGAGGAAGCCTTTATTATTACAGCTGTTTAAATTTCTTGCTGATATTGTACTTTGACATTATTTATGAATTATTTTTAAATTGCTAATAATGCTGAAAATTGTATAATTGACATAGGCTTGCGAACTTATTAATCTTAAAAATCATAAACATATTCAGTTGAAAGATATTTCGGTTTTTTTTTTATAAATTCAATATAGCTTAAGGATAGAGGTATCGATGACTCATTACGGAATACAGATTTAGGAATAGTAATAGGTCGTGGAAATCTACTGGCGGTGTTGACATAGGAGGAGAGATAGATGGAGATAGAGAGATAGAGAGATAGAGCTAGAGATAGAGATAGAGAGATAGAGATAGAGATAGAGATAGAGAGAGAGAGAGAGAGAGAGAGAGAGAGAGAGAGAGAGAGAGAGAGAGAGAGAGAGAGAGAGAGAGAGAGAGAGAGAGTTGGAGAGAAAATAGATTTGTTAGTTATTAGTTAGCGAGTCAAACTCACCCGAGACGAGAAGAGCCTGGCGTATCTGGTGCGATCCTCGGGGCTAAGCTCGCCGTCCCCTTCAACGACTGATCTTAATATGCGCCGGAGCTCCTGCAAATTGCTTTCCGTACTCGATCTTCGTCTGCGGCCTCTGGAAATACAGAAGAATAGCGAAGACAGGTGAGCGAGAGACGTAAAAGCATCAGCAGTTTAATTGTATTAAAGACCGGCATCGAGGTAAAGGATATTATCGTCAAGTAGAGCAACCTAGGAGCAACCACATCACGAATATCCGAATGAAATTTATGGTTACTCGAACGTCGGATCAAGGAAAACCACAAGAGAGTCCAATTTAGTAGTATAACAAAACGTATGACAAAACTCTGAACGATGGTTGCGCATCGTCGACTGATTATCCGATTATCGTCTGTGAATTTTCATCACGTAGATTTACATTTTAACGCTCTGCAATTGTTGACGTTGTATCGAGGCCCGAAAATCTTTGCAATAGTTATCGGTATTGTTATTATTATCCTTGCCATTGCTATTACCATCATCGATATTATTATCATTATCATTATTTAGACGTTAAATTAAGCATTTTTCAATTTTTTAACGGATCGTTTTAACTGAGCAATTGCAATACCGAACAATCGTGTATGTTTCCCGTACATGTCTTTCTTTTTAATATCTTTCTCTTTCGATTAGATCGATCGCAATATCTTTACGGAATTTAACGCTATGTGTACGAAGGAAGAGCTTTCGGCGTATATGCAGGACGCTAAATCAATTACAATTGTCGCAATCGTGACTGCAATTCCAACTCAGCCGATTGCTCTCCCTATGCTTATGATCATTGTCGACGTAAATTTTATTGTTACGTCTCCTGTCTGTTCCTTTCTATTCTAGATTCTGAGCAACTTCCTATCCGGTATTTACACTTTATTACACGAGTGCATTACCCGTGCGGTTTTACGCTCTCATTTACAGCCGCTTAGGCAATGCTTCCACGTGCGTAAAAAGGGGATATTATGCTCGAAGCGTCTGCCGTTAGGAAATCCTGCCATGCAGATTTACGAAAAAGTACGCAATAATTCGAAGCGAAGCCTCGAATTACCATTGCTCGTGTTGTTTTCATTCATTGTGTCTGCTAAATACAGATTGATTGGCCCGACGGTACGATACTTGATGCCAACCTATATAAACCCCTTTGTGTCCCACTCCCTAAAAATATTGATGCAAGCGTGAATTCCATTGGGCTCGTCCTATCGCTGACCAGCTTACGCTTTCATGGATCCGATCTCGCTTTCTCATCCCGATATTGCCGTAATATTTTATTACCTTTTTTCCCCCATGAATTTTCTTTCGATTTAGCGAATCGAGGAAATGCATAATTTTTGTATAATACTTGCTTTTAATATCCAATAGTTTGAGGCGGCATCTGGTAAGCCGGCCGACGACTTTATTTTAAAAAGGGTTACTCGATTGTGACGCGATAATTTTCCTATCGCCATCATTATAGGCGAACGACGAGGACATTCTAAGCCTCGTCCGGGCATGTTTTAGAGATTCGTCACATTCGCTAATTTTAGCTCCGCTTGAATGGCAAATACCAATTGACTAATAAGGAATTATTTCCATCATTGCTGGCCGATATTTTGGCGCGATAAATATACATTGGCGAAAGAAAGGAGATGAAAGGCTCGGGGCTCGGGATTTCACCCTACTCTCTGTGACTTGAAAATAATATGTTAATTCGCGATGGGTACTATTCAATTTCAACCTCGGACCGAATATATTTTCATTTTTACATTTAATACAAATACACTTCCAGGGGATGCTCGAATGTCGGAGCGTCAATGTAGAATAGACGATAGTTTCGCGTATAATTTCTCATTGGCAAATCAAATTCAAATGACGCGTGGCCCCGGTGTAATACGAATTTCGGATCGTCGTAGATCTTTTCGAAAATCTTCCCCTTTACGTAATGATAGTTGTGGGTGGGCGCCTTGAGGCTTACAGGAATTTCAATGGCGGATATACGACTATTATAATTATCGGTGGGTTTCTCCAAGAAAGTTTAAAGTAGTTATCTGACACGTACGGGCGGGAGAGATTGCGAATATTGTACTCGATAAGCTTTAACTCGTTCGTTAACGTTACACGTGATGAACTAACTTCGAACCATTGCGGTTAAAAAATTTGACGAGGCAATCCCAGTGGCAATTTCACGCAGCTTTTTATGTACTCGAATACGAAAATTCCAAAAATGGAAGGAAGCCTTGGAAGGTGTTAGGGTTATAGATTATTTAGAAGATTATACGTTTGCCTGTCTAGTTATAATCTGCACACAATGTCAATTATAATATCCTTAAAATCTTGATATAAGCGAATAACCCTTATAAATATAAATAGTTCTTCGCTGTTCAAACGATCAATCTTCGAATGGGCTTCGATTATGCTTAAACATAGGACTAATGCAGTTGGAGGGCAATAAGAGAGACACAGCAGTAAGAACGTAGTGAGCTGATTAAACGAAGCAAGTAGTCTTCGAAGGTACGTCGTCCGAGATGGTATCATCGGTAAATAATGACGTACTTTGTCATTGTGCTTAGCAACTGACAGGCGTAGGAATAATAACGGAATCGTTAAACTATTGGCTCAGCTGATGAAAATTCTTTTTTTTCTTTCTTTTTTCTTTCATTTCCCTTTTTTCTTTGTTATTTGTAGACGGAAAATAGCTATTGATATTTCGTTTATGGAATATCAAGCGCTCGATTTTAGAATAAACAGTTGGATTCCAGGGCTGTCACGACGTTCAATAAGTACGTAGCGCGTTTCTCTTATTGTTTCTCTTCAGGAGCATTCTATAAACGTATTTTCAATTGTACTCGATAATTTTCGTATCCACGTTCCACGTGTATTCTCTATCTCGTTTAAATTCTTCGATATTTCACCAATGGTATGTCTTATCTGGCGTAAGAGTATTTAAATATTTTCACAATAGAGCTTAATTTGTCGGTATTCAATGAACAATTTAAGCCTGTCAATTATGTATTATTTTCCAATTAATAGTCGTCTATAGTTATAATTAAAATTATTTAAAAAATTTAGTCCTTTAAAAAAAATATGTACGTTTTGACTGGCATGATAATTTCGGCTACGTGAAAAATCCACTCTCACGCATTTATACACATACACGCGCGCGCCCACACACAAACACAAGCACATATATATATATATATATATATATATATATATATATATATTGATTATTTCCTAACACAATAATTCGATTATATAAAATGTTATTATAATTCCAAAGTAGAATAAAAATATAGCTTTGTTAAATAATCGTTTGAATTTTCGTATTTATAAGAAGCGATGGAGGGACTGCAGTGCCGTTTTATTATTTTATTATAAGATAATTCGATGGACAAATATTGATTGTAAAACATGAAATAAGCCATTTGGATTATGTTGTAATTAGGTGTAAAGCGATTTATCAGAATATAGTGTTACGCTGGTAATATTATGATTAATCGTCGAGATATGAGTATCGATGTATTATAGTTATTTAACGATTTAAACAAATAAATATGTGGCAGACTTACATTTTATTCGGGTCGACTTGACCAAAACCGACGGGTACCGTCACTAGTTTTCCTTTCATTTTGGATAAAGCTAACCAAGTCTCAATTTCTGCTAATCTTTGATCCGACACTCGTTTCGGCCGACTGTAACAAAGAATTGGAAGATACGATGAGTATTAAATGCATTGAATTTATAATTTAGGATGATACGAACGAGACGATGACGAGTCAATATGACTTTTAACAATTACGAGTAGAAATTACTTATAGCAAATTTAAGATTAAAAGTACCTAAGTCAATTCTTCGATAGCAATAAAATAGAAAAATATATAATCAAGCATGAGGCAATGTATGTAGGATTCTTTGTTACAAATAACTGAAGCATTGCAAAAAAATAATTTTTCAATTTTATGCTAAAAGCTGCAATATTAGCAGGGATAATAAGTTAATAAGGGATAACAAGTAACGTAAAATCCGTAAAATTTATAACAATTGCAAGGAGCAGCAATTGGAGAAATTTTTATGAATTCACTTTGTTTACGTAAAGCAATAGATCGAAATGACATTAAAGCTTAAGGGTAAGTTAATGTATAATTTAGAGCAGCTGCGGCATACACTTAGTACGAAGATATGTAAGATGATTCTACCATTGCTCTTACAAACTGCACTCTCAACGCTTATAATTATTACCCTATCAGTATTGACTAAAATTATAACACTACAGGCGATTGATATAAATTCTCGCGTTAACCTAATCGCAATTCAATAATAAGTGAATAGCGATAATGAATGACACTATTACCATAACCATCCGGTGCCAATTTAAATTGTTGTCTCTGTATTATGGAAGGTGATGAAATTATGGATTCTCAGTTAATTATCGCTTTACGAGAGACAAGTAAAATGACTAAAAGTATATGGTAACGTAACGAGTGAATGACGATTAATGCGTAATGTAATAATGATTCATATGAAATATCGCGCAAGGCACATAAGGTAGTAGGTAGTGAGTGCTTTTATGCAAATTGCAATCTTATATCACCGAGGATTAAAACAAGATTTCACCATTATTTAAATAATGATAAATTTAAATAAGGAAATATTGCCAATCGTACGAGCAACCAACGTGTAACACAAAACACAATGAAATCATTCGCGCAAAGCCGCGAACAATAAACGCGTACTTGGTCAACAGGACGAAAAACTCAGTCACCCGACACAGCACCGATAAATAATGCCGAACCAGGAAATGCCGAATCCAGGTGCATTCAACGAGCTCGGTCAGCCCGAGGTGGACGAACGCCCGGCGATGCGTCAGCTCCGCTCCTTCCTCGGGATACAGCCACTCGCGCTTATCTCCCGGGCGTTATGTCACCTCGGGCTGACGAGCAGTCGTCCAAGTCAAGAAGTGGCTTGGATTTTCACGTACTTTGGCCCCTACCGATCCGAAATAATGCGGTCGCGTAACAGTAAACACAAATGAATCCCGGATGCTGACAGAGTGATTCATCGGCGAGGATACAAAAGACTTGGACGAGTAGGAAGCAGTGTAAGATGAGATTGGCTGCCGGTAAGGAATAACGAATTAACGATGGAAAGAAGCGATGACGAACTCTACCGGGTATTCTAATAGTCAACCATCACTCGGTCGCCCTGGAGTACTTCTCCACAGAGCTCGCGCACAAATGTGAGACCCACCTGAGCGTAGCTCCGGGCGGCCTCGCCTCGATCGCCACCACGAGGACGAGGATCGCAAGAGCCGCGTGTACGAGGCGTCGGCGGCACATCCCGGACTGTCTGCGTCAGTTCGTCGAAAGGGCTGGGGTGGATGGGTTGTGAGGATAAGGGGGAGTGGAGTTAAGAGGTGGAGAGGGTTAAGAGGCCACGGCAACCCTCGGCCGGCTCGGGAACACGACTCGGCCCGGAGCCGCGGGCACCGGCCATATATACCCGGCGCTCGTGGTGGCGCCTCCTCGGCCCCACTCTGCCTTCGCCACCGCCTCCGCCCCAGCCCCCACCCCCGTCCTCCTCGCGGCCGTCGTCGACCTCATCGCTACTCCGCAGCGCGATCTCACCCTCGGCGCGCGAACTCCCGAGTCCCTTCCTCGCGGTACCGGCGTTTCCCGTTCTCTCGTTGCGTTTGCCGTTTGCTTAAGCCCGAGCGCCAAGACAGCCTGGAACCAATTGAATTTATTTTGACTCGAAGGTCCGCGGCGCGAGCCTTGCTGTAATAATTACTCGTACCCACCTCGCTTATCGCCACTCCTAATCCACAAACGCTTATCGACCGTTTATCACAGATATTTTTAAGCACTCGTCTACGTAGCGACCAAATCATTAGAAATACACCCTGATATCAACCACTATTGTGCTAATTGTGCCGGCGATAATTATATATCCACCGTACGTCACTTTTCATTCCTTTTGATGGATTTGCTGAATATTGAATATCGTATGTCGCTGTGAGACTTTTATATTTGGAGTAATTATTAATCATTACCTTTCATCATTTTATTTTATATATTGAATAATATGTCATTAATAACTTTTTATGGCTTTCTTTATCGCAATACGTAAGATACTGAATTACGTCAAAAATTATCTTGTAGAAATTGTGTCGCAGTACAAATGAAATTATTAAACATACTTAAGCCATTATTTTACATCAGATTCTTAATTGTAAATGAGCTGAGATGTGAAACTTTACACTAAGCATGAAATCCAAAATAATAAATATTGATTGCATAAAATTCCATTTCCAGGATCATTACAAAGTTACTCTATCACTTCGCATCCCTATGTAATTAGTACGTATCGATCACATGGATTAAAGCAAAATTTACCATTTATGTTCTTACATGGTAATTGTAATTTCATTATTTATGAAATAAATGTAGCCAATAATTTATTTAACATGCCATTATTATGCATTTTACATTATTATGCATTTTTTAAATTCTCCAATAAAATTGAGAGAGATACGTTTTATAAATTTAAAATATTCTAATACACGTACATGTTAGTAAATTTATTTCTCTACGCGTTACGTTACTGCGCAATGCTCGTTTATTTATTTATTTATTTTAATTTTTATGTAGCTATTCCTTAAAATAAGCTACAAATTTAAAAAAAAAAAAAAAAAACAACAACAACAACAAAAAACAAAAAAAAAAACAAGATTGAACATGGTAATAAACTTCGCTTAGCCATTAAGAAAAATCATAATATTTAATATTCAATAGTTAAAATTATACAATTATATTAAAAAACTACTCGCTCAAATTATCATTTGTAATTATATTTTTATAAAATAATAATGATGTATCTAGTTATTACTATTAATCTGTCTATTTACTCGGATTACACAATGCATGTGTACGCACACAATTTCCGTTAAGTGCAATATAACGGAATTGATGCAATTCTAATGTGTACAAATTACTCGTACATTTACTTAAAAAGTTATAAATTTTTAAAATGGTACATTTCCAATCCATCGAAATATTCTTAAATCAAATAACTACGATATATAAGCAAAATAAATATATAACAAACTAAATTTATATTTAAATAAAAACTTTACACTATTCTTCTTCACAAATCAAAAAGTCTTTTTAAGCCTCAATTCATTGGAGCAATATTTAAGTAAAAATATTTTTAAAAAATTGATATTGATTTTCGGACATTTATGCTAAAGTTTAAGCATAGATTATCGGAATAATCAATTAATAAAATAAATACCAAATTCAATGATATGCAGTTTATTATGTTCTTTAATTATCTATAATTTTAATAATAAATGTACACGCACGCGCACAGGCGCATACATACTCACGCACGTACGCACATCGACGTTACTTAAAAAATAGGTTTTTCGAGCAGAAATTAAAAATTTGTAATTATTAATACGTATCGTTTAAAGGATTGTTGTTATTAGTATCACGCTTGTGACGTCAGATCGTACGACGTACATTCTTATCGAAAGCTTCAATTCCTTTTTCTGATCATTAAAATCTAACCCTAGTTTCGAGATAATGTATATATATATATATATATATATATATATTTTTTTTTTAATATAGTACGTATGGTGACCTCAGATAATCGATCGTGACTCGTTTCAATCGATATTGAAAAAAAAAACGATTTTATGAATATCGCTATATATAATCATTACAATCCATGCAAAACAATTGATTTTAAGAGTATATAAATATTAGATTTTATCATTGAAAATGATTATTCAATTATTCCTATTTCTCAATTGAGTAAATAGTAATCATTATTCTTTAAAAAGATTTATTCAGTTTAATTTTCTGATATTGGAAAAGATTTGTAATAGCAATGAGAAAACGATTTAATTTTGTACAAACAAATTATTCTCTTCAATTTATTTCCTCGTTGTAATTGTAATTGCAGGTTTAACGCGCTACGAAATGATTTAAAAAAAAAGAAAAAAAAAAGAAAAAAAAACGGTTCTTCGAACATAACTATTCGTTTCAATAATAAACAAAATTTCTTAGAATGCCGATTATGATAGACATTTCTTGTGTAGTAAAATGATGAGTAACGAGTTCTTGATATAAAAAGAATTATTTCCTTGATGTAAGACTGACATATATCGATAATATTCCTCATAACTTCAAATCTAACTCTATCTTGAGTACACTCATTATAAAACTCTGAACTTAGATTGTAACAGTAAATTTAAATTTTGCATTTCAAGAACTTTTTTAAAAAGAATTTCTTAGGCATGAGAAATATTTTTCATAAAATAAGTAAGGCAGATAATTTGTCAATGTTAGAATAAAATTAAATTACTTTTCTACATTCAAGATAATTATAATTTGTAATTATTATTTAAATTATATTTAAATAACTGTCTGATTTATATTTATGTTACATAAACCAAGTGTCAATCAGAATTATATTAGAATATTAACTTAGTAGTGAATATCGTACTTTATTAAGATTTCGATAAAAATTCTTTCGTTTTCAAAAACTAACTCCATTTGAAAATCGTAGTGACGCTCTTTTGAATTGTTATTACTTATGATGAATGAGAATGGAACAATTTGAAATAAAATTAATACATTATAGTAAAGTTATTAATAATTTCATATTAGAGCAACTGAATCGTTTCAATAGAATGACATTTTAACATATAATAATTGATATATTTTAAAAGAAATTTTTAAATATTATATTCAAAAATAATTCTTTTAAATTAAATTCAATATTTTTAATCATTCATATTATAATCTACAATTTTGTTTTTATATGTAGATGAAGTATTTTTTAATAAATATAATCAATTATTTTTTGGTTTATTAAGTAATAATCAATTGTTATTACTCAATGATCATTATAACTTTCTGCAATTAAGTTTTTGTAAAATATTTGTAAAATTTGTTATAATTATAATGCCAATCATAATAAGAATTATTATTATTATTATTATTATTATTATTATTATTATTATTATTATTATTATTATTACTATTACTACTACTACTACTATTATTATTATTATTATTATTATTATTATTATTATTATTGCGAATATTATATCGTAGATAATAAATGTATTATAAAATTCAATTATGTAGTTTAAAATTTAAAAATTATATTACATAAAGATTTGATACAAATTATTCAAGTATAGTGAACAAAATATAAGAAGCTGTTGTTGTCTATTAAGTTGAAGTCGGCCTAATGAATAAGAAAGTGAAGTGAATCTCGTTGATAAGATTGACAAAATACTTTATAGATTTAGATATAGCTTACATTATAGATATGATTAAAGTTTAAAGGTTATCTATAAAAAGAAAGTTACCACTTATGTATAGTGACGTAAAAAGGAGTAAAGTTCGACTGAATTTTACAGGTGCTAATTTTGTTGTTACGTTTCATACATTTTAAGTGCGCAAAATAAGAATTATGAAACAAATGATGTTTAAATAATTAATAATTTGATTTATCATTGCAATAAAAATTGTATTATTAGTTATATTAATGAATTAATTATTAAATTATTATTATTATAATGTAAATGAAACGACAAGGAATATTCATATTAAAGGATACAAAAATTTAATCTTTTCATTAATAGAGAGAAATAGATGAAAATTTTTTTTAAATCCTTTCATTGTAATTTTCATTAGTTTTATCTTTGAACTTATAATAAAGTAATTGAAAAATAAAGTAATATTATAAATTATTTATTAATATTTTCTATAATTTTCTTTAAATTGACTAAGTTACGTCAATTACATTATCCGCTGAATTTAAGGGTGACCTATTTAATCAATTTTTAATACCATAAGCAGTGTTTATTAAACAATCGAAATAACGAAGTTAAAAATTTAATAAATAAATTTGCACGTAGAGTAATTTTGAAACTATTATCAAATCAATAGAATATTACAAATTTTGCAGTAACATTAATATGTAACTATTACAATCATCGGCTTGTCACATGATTAATCAAATGTTTACTCAAAATTTCATTTATTAAAATTGTTACTAGAAGTGTTCTGTATATGATAAAACATAGCTAATCATGTTTTTATTTAATTTTCATCAAGATTAGTGTACAAGCTCTTGTTCATAGTGTTATCAATCTCCATTTGCAATGAAGCACCGATAAATATCTTTTTACCTTTTACGCGCAATGACTTTATAAAATCGTATACTCCTCCCGTTTCCTTTCATTATTTCTCTCTCTCTCTCTCTCTCTCTCTCTCTCTCTTTGACTTTTTTATTAAACAAAAACGTATTATTTGCGCGAAATCGCAGAACGTCAACGGAGGTCGCT